AACTGTAACTTGTGATTCCCCATTTGGACTTCTCTGTTGACATCCACCCCTTGGCGCTCATGTGACCGTATACAATTGCGAGCGCCGTAAAACCTTACTATAACTGAGAACGTCCTCTGCGACAGTGTCAGATTCCCGTGCATATTTAGTTGAGAAGTGACTCCCTTCAGTGTTGGTAGTCGACGAGGTGTGTCCCAGAAGAAAGTTTTCCTGTCATGCTGCCCTCACATATAATTATAAATCACCTTGTACATGTATAGGTATTTGACATCAACAGAAAGCAAGTTCCAATACATGTACCTATTCAACGTAGGAACCATCAAGTTCCCGACATTTCTCCGTTTGATGTACCCTGCGGTCAAAGACAGTGGTCAGTGATCGTTTGTCCAAGGTCCCGAGTGATTTACTCACAGCCTCTTGAATCTGGTCCTCGTCCTCAAATCGCCGACCTTGCAGCATTTTTTCTCCCTTGGGTAAGAGGTGGAAGTTACATGGGGCGAGATCGGGCGAATAGGGCGGGTGTTCCAAGAATTCCCACGAGTAGCCCTCAAGAAGCTCGTTCACAACTCTGGACTTGTGAACAGGCGCGTTGTCATAATGCAGGATGACGCCTTCTTCAAGCAAAGCAGGTCTTTTTTCTGGATCGCAGGTCTCTGTTTGTCTTTGAGAACAAACCTGTAGTAGCCACCATTGACAGTTACGCCAGGTGGGACTAGCCAGCTCAGTATGACGCCACTCATGTAGAACAAAACAATGTGCATCACTTTTCTCTCCCCGTGTTTTCTGTGTGCGCTTCATCGTTCATGTCAGACCTCCCACCTTCAACCCCCCTGATCCATTTCCTTACTGTTTGAATTGATGGAGAATTATTTCCTATTCAGGGGCGGCTCGTGGGGCTAAAAGCTGGGCGTGCACAATAGAGCTATCTAGGCTGAACTTTGTATAGATCACCTTGGGTTCCAACTGCAGACTGACTTGCCGAGAAGAGTTGAACATTTGATCACAACTCGGACATAGTAGCATGAGAAGTTGCACCAATGTTTTGCCGAGCCATTTTCCTGGAATTTGCCTTGGACAAAGTGCAGAAGTACACCACACTTGACACGTCACAGCTCTATGGCCCGCCCACCAATACACTTGCAATTTGGCGTGGAGATTTCTCAGACATGATGTCATGACGTCACAAAATTGAGCAGCTGTTGGTTGCGCACTTTTGATTTTGTCACTTTCACGGACGATGAG